GTTGCGTTTCTGTGTTCCAGTTCATTAACCATCAAAGAGAACGTAATAAGAAGTGATACATTCTTGAAAATAAATAACCTTTACCAGAAAAGTACCAGATTTCTTCCAGCCAAAATAGTATTTTGTCGTCGTATAAAATAGAAGCGAAGAAAAATCTTGCCTACGCCACTACCAATGGCAGCCCTGTATCACAATTTGTATCATCAATAAACTCAAAAACTATTCTTCTCAGTTTTTTTCAGTTGTCACTAAAATTCAGCGGCTTTCTAACAGGCAGAATACTCTGACAACGGTTCAATATGGGAAAAGCAATGTCTCATCTCGATAGACTTGATAATTTCCAACAGACAAAGATCCTGAATCCATATTTGAACCATCAATTTATTCCACGTGAAACTCGAAAATATAGAATAAGGCGTAATCCCAATTTGTTATACGATCTGACAACTGGGAGAATATATCGACTAAATGGGATACGACGACGACACCTAGCCTTGTCGGGAGTACCACCAAAAAGCAATAAAAACTCAGATAATTCAATAAAAAAACTTACTTATTTGCCATCGCATATCGATTTAAGACATCGAATGACGCCAGTTGACGATTCACCATATTTAATGGGATCGTGGTAAGCACCAGCTCCCAATACACTGTGCTGCTTGAAATTAGGCAAGATTAAACCCATCCTGTTACTATGAATACATGCGCTTACTGGACTTAATAGCTAGCCTATAGAAGTAACGAAGGTTTTCTTAATGTAGTGATAAGAATGATGGTATAGGCTTTCTGTTCTATTAAAATTATCGCTAAAATTCTCAAATTCTACTCGATAATGAAAGATCTAAGAACTATATAGACATCAGTTAATATATTGATACTATATAGATATTTAATTAATATATATTTTACACAATTCATATATCAGATCAAGCGAGTTTCCAAGAAAAATTTCAGTGCCTGTTTCCATAATTTTCAATATCTCATACAACTAATGGTTAAAAATGAAGTTAAGTATAAATGCAAAATCAAATACTATGGTTCAATCGTACTGATTTGTCTTTATTAAAATTTTAGTAAATCAATGATATCATACTTTCGTTTTTATTTTCAGCGTAGCCGATGCATTAGCAAGTACGCCGCAAACTTACTTTCAACATGTACTCCTCAGTAAATTGTGTCTGAAATTATTTGTTTAGGTGCCTATGAATATTTGGTTAAATATGAGAAAGGAATAGATATTGATGTTAGTCGATTATTTATTTACTGGAATGGTCGTTGGCTGGACCAAACTACGCATTTAGATGATGGAATTTATTTGAAATCTGGAGTAGATGCGCTCATAACACACGGTGTCATGCTTGAGCACCATTGGCCTTACTTACCGTCATTTCTCTACGACGCTCCTCCACCTGAACTTTATCAAACGGCAAAACAATGGACAGTAAAGTCCGTAAACTTCGCTCCCCATTTGTATACGATGAAAAACTGTTTAGCTAATGGTTATCCATTCATGTTTGGACTTGAAATATTTAACTCATTTGGTTCAGCATCGCATAACAAGGGTTATGTACCGATGCCGGATCCGTCAGAAATGCCACCCTCACACGCACCTTATCATACACGTAGTCATCATGCACTATTAGCCGTCGGATACGATGATTACTCTAACCATTTTATCGTGCGAAATTGCTGGGGTTCTGAATGGGTAAGCATTTTGAGAAAAAAACATACACCAGTATGAAATATAATGTGTTCGAACCACTTTCTTTACACAAGAATTGGTAAAACAAACGTTTCATAGACAAAAATGCATGTATCCTTAATGCCACTTCTGTTAATTAAGATTTAAAAATTAATAGCTTAGACAGACACGTAAGAACGACTAGAGAGCTGCTGTTTTTGCCAACGACAAGCCAAAATTCAGGGGTATCTTTTGCAGTGGCGGATCCAGCGTTGTTTTTTGGTACGTGCGGTATACGATAAAAGTGCGAGATACGTGCGGTCGTCATAAAAACAGATTATTCTAAGAGAGATTTGCTGAGAAAAAAGAGTTTTTTTGATTAAAAGGTACGAGCGGTCGCTCGTACCGCTCGCGGGCTGGATCCGCCACTGATCTTTTGGTACGATATAATTTTCGAAATCTTTTCTGAGTTAATTTTTCAAGAGAATCAGAATGCGGCCTAAGCAAGCTTTCATTTCCAACAGTATAGATGCGGAGCGGTTACCTTGAAAGCTTCAGAACTGGTATCCGCTAACTTTGGGAATCTCATAAACATATGAAGGTATAGGTTTTCTGTGACTGTAATAGCTTTTTTTCTCACT